GTCTACAAGATTCTTTATAGCCTTTATGCTTACGAGCTTGTAACTGTTTAATGCCTTTGTGGTGTTGTTTTGACTGTACTTTTGTGCCTTTTTGTGCTGCATCTTCACTCCTCTAGATGTTGATGTGGCGTTGGCTGTTGTGTTTTGGGCTTTGTTTTTGCCCTCGGGTTATCCTTGCCGGATAGCCTACATTTTTGTCCTGCTTGTACATTCTTCCCCCCCTCTTCTCTTGGGTGATTTAACAATATACTTACAGGTTACCCAAAAAAAAATGGAGCAAGATATGATCGCATCAAATCTACACGAGTTCGGAGTGAAATCAGAAACATTTGTGAATATATGGTTAATCTGTAACTTTTAATTAATGCATTGTAAATGAAGTTGGAACAATAGCTTTAGAGCTCCGATCTATCTTTTCATCTAGATATAATACGCTCCAAACGGATAAACACACAGCAAGATATGAGGGTCACAAATACTTAGCCTTATCTCTATGATTTAGCGTTTTCAGCGAAAATAGAGCACTTTTAGCGTAAATACAGTGTATTTTAGTAATTAGGCAATCATCCCTTGATATTCTGAAACCAGCGCCTGAAAACAAGTTTTAGATCTCGGTAAGATCTTTCCAACGACATATTAAACAATTTCAACGACACAAAATAGAGCAAGATATGATCGCATCAAATTCTACACGAGTTCGGAGTGAAATCAGAAACATTTGTTTATACATGGTTAATTTGTAACTTTTAATTAATGCATAGTAAATGAAGTTGGAACAATAGCTTTAGAGCTCCGATCTATCTTTCCAACGAGATATAATACGCCCCAAACGGAAAAACACACAGCAGGATATGAGTGTCAGAAATACTTAGCCTTATCTCTATGATTTAGCGTTTTCAGCTAAAATAGAGTACGTTTAGCGTATATACAGTGAATTTTAGTAATTAGGCAATAAACCCTTGATTTTTTGAAACCAGCGCCTGAAGACAAGTTTTAGAACTCGGTATGATCTTTCAAACGAGATATTAAACGCTTTCAATAGCACAACAAAGAGCAAGATGTGATCGCATCAAATTCTACACGAGTTCAGAGTGAAATAAGAAACATTTGTGAATATATGGTTAATCTGTAACTTTTAATTAATTCATTGTAAATGAAGTTGGAACAATAGCTTTAGAGCTCCGATCTATCTTTCCAACGAGATATAATACGCTCCAAACGGATAAACACACAGCAATCTCTATGATTTAGCGTTTTCAGCGAAAATAGAGCACTTTTAGCGTAAATACAGTGTATTACTATTTTTGATACTATTATTATTACTATTATTATTATTATTCTTATTAATATTATTCTTATTATTATTATTATTATTATTATTATTATTATTCTTATTATTATTATTATTATTATTATGATTATTATTATTATTATGATGATTATTATTATTATTATTATTATTATTATTATTATTATTATTAGCTCCGATCTATCTTTCCAACGAGATATAATACGCTCCAAACGGTTAAACACACAGCAAGATATGAGTGTCACAAATACTTAGCCTTATCTCTATGATTTAGCGTTTTCAGCGAAAATAGAGCACTGTTAGCGTAAATAAAGTTTATTTTAGTAATTAGGCAATCATCCCTTGATATTTTGAAACCAGCGCCCCAAGACATGTTTTAGAACTCGGTAAGATCTTTCCAATGAGATATTAAATGCTTTCAATGGCACAAAATAGAGCAAGATATGATCGCATCAAATTCTACACGAGTTCGGAGTGAAATCAGAAACATTTGTGAATATCTGGTCAATCTGTAACTTTTAATTAATTCATTGTAAATGAAGTTAGGACAATAGCTTTAGAACTCCGATCTATCTTTCCAACGAGATATAATAAGCTCCAAACGGATAAACACACAGCAAGATATGAGTGTCACAAATACTTAGCCTTATCTCTATGATTTAGCGTTTTCAGGGAAAATAGAGCACTTTTAGCGTAAATACAGTGTATTTTAGTAATTAGGCAATAATCACTTGATTTTTTGAAACCAGCGCCTAAAGACAAGTTTTAGAACTAGGTAAGATCTTTCAAACAAGATATTAAACGCTTTCAACGGCACAACAAAGAGAAAGATATGATCGCATCAAATTCTACACGAGTTTGGAGTGAAATCAGAAACATTTGTGAATATATGGTTAATCTGTAACTTTTAATTAATGCATTGTAAATGAAGTTGGAACAATAGCTTTAGAGCTCCGATCTATCTTTCCAACGAGATATAATACGCTCCAAACTGATAAACACTCAGCAAGATATGAGTGTTACAAATACTTAGCCTTATCTCTATGATTTAGCGTTTTCTGCGAAAATAGAGCACTTTTAGCGTAAGTACAGTGTATTTTAGTAATTAGGCAATGCTCCCTTGATATTTCGAAACCAGATCCTGAAGACAAGTTTTAGAACTCGGTAAGAGCTTTCCAACGATATATTAAACGCTTTCAACGGCACAAAATAGAGAAAGATATGATCGCATCAAAATCTACACGAGTTCGGAGTGAAATCAGAAACATTTGTGAATATATGGTTAATCTGTAACTTTTAATTAATGCATTGTAAATGAAGTTGGAACAATAGCTTTAGATCTCCGATCTATCTTTCCAACGAGATATAATACGCTCCAAACGGATAAACACACAGCAAGATATGAGTGTCACAAATACTTAGCCTTATCTCTATGATTTAGCGTTTTCAGCGAAAATAGATCACTTTTAGCGTAAATACAGTGTATTTTAGTAATTGGGAAATCGTCCCTTGATATTTTAAAACCAGCGCCTGAAGACAAGTTTTAGAACTAGGTAAGATCTTTCCAACGACATATTAGACGTTTTAACGGCACAAAATAGAACAAGATATGATCACATCAAATGCTACACGAGCTCGGAGTGAAATCAGAAACATTTGTGAATATATATTTAATCTGTAACTTTTTATTAATGCATTGTAATGAAGTTTGAAAAATAGCTTTAGAGCTCAGATCTATCTTTCCAACGAGATATAATACGCTCGAAACGGATAAACACACAGCATGATATGAGTGTCACAAATACTTAGCCTTATCTCTATGATTTAGCGTTTTCAGAGAAAATAGAGCACTTTTAGCGTAAATACAGTGTATTTTAGTAATTGGGCAATCATCCCTTGATATTTTGAAACCAGCGCCTGAAGACAAGTTTTAGAAAATTGTAAGATCTTTCCAACGAGATATTAAACGCTTTCAATGGCACAAAATAGAGCAAGATATGATCGCATCAAATCTACACGAGTTCGGAGTGAAATCAGAAACATTTGTGAATATATGGTTAATCTGTAACTTTTAATTAATGCATTGTAAATGAAGTTGGAACAATAGCTTTAGAGCTCCGATCTATCTTTTCAATGAGATATAATACGCTCGAAACGGATAAACACACAGCAAGATATGAGTGTCACAAATACTTAGCCTTATCTCTATGATTTAGCGTTTCCAGAGAAAATAGAGCACTTTTAGCATAAAAACAGTGTATTTTAGTAATTAGGCAATCATCCCTTGATATTCTGAAACCAGCGCCTGAAAACAAGTTTTAGATGTCGGTAAGATCTTTCCAACGAGATATTAAACAATATCCACGACACAAAATAGAGCAAGATATGATCGCATCAAATTCTACACGAGTTCGGAGTGAAATCAGAAACATTTGTTTATTAATGGTTAATTTGTAACTTTTAATTAATGCATTGTAAATGAAATTGGAACAATAGCTTTAGAGCTCCGATCTATATTTCCAACGAGATATAATACGCCCCAAACGGATAAACACACAGCAGGATATGAGTGTCACAAATACATAGCCTTATCTCTATGATTTAGCGTTTTCAGCTAAAATAGAGCACTTTTAGCGTAAATACACTGTATTTTAGTAATTAGGAAAGAATCCCTTGATTTTTTGAAACCAGCGCCTGAAGACAAGTTTTAGAACTCGGTATGATCTTTCAAACGAGATATTAAACGCTTTCAATGGCACAACAAAGAGCAAGATGTGATCGCATCAAATTCTACACGAGTTCAGAGTGAAATCAGAAACATTTGTGAATATATGGTTAATATGTAACTTTTAATTAATGCATTGTAAATGAAGTTGGAACAATAGCTTTAGAGCTCCGATCTATCTTTCCAACGAGATATAATACGCTCCGAACGGATAAACACACAACAATCTCTATGATTTAGCGTTTTCAGCGAAAATAGAGCACTTTTAGCGTAAATACAGTGTATTACTATTTTTGATACTATTATTATTACTATTATTATTATTATTATTATTAGTATTATTATTATTATTATTATGATTATGATTATGATTATTATTATTATTATTGATATTATTATTATTATTATTATTATTATTATTATTATTATTATTATTATTATTATTATTATTATTATTAGCTCCGATGTATCTTTCCAACGAGATATAATACGCTCCAAACGGTTAAACACACAGCAAGATATGAGTGTCACAAATACTTAGCCTTATCTCTATGATTTAGCGTTTTCAGCGAAAATAGAGCACTGTTAGCGTAAATAAAGTTTATTTTAGTAATTAGGCAATCATCCCTTGATATTTTGAAACCAGCGCCCAAAACCAGCGCCTCACCAGCGCCTGAAGAGGGAAGTTGAGGGAGTCTCTCTCTAGCCTCAGGCTATTCTTCCCACTCGAGCTCAGGCCGGCACCACTCACGGTGGCCGCCGCCGCCGGCGCCTCCGGGCTCCGGCGGGCTTCTGTTTCATTATTTGAAATTTTTTGGAAAAGGTTTTTACCACTTCAGTGGTGCTGGACAGCCTGGTTTTAGATGCTTTCAGAGGTCTGTTCTCCATTGACGTAGACCTCGCTGGAAACAACCGGAGACTGCCATTGATGGTGGCTAGTAACCCTGGGTACTGGTTTTGAGATGGGGGGCCTGTGACGGTGGTGAACGAGCCGGAGATGGAAGTTTCTGGGGATGGATAGCGAGGCTCGAAGTCAGAGGCAAGTGTGGTTCTTTGTTCTGTGGCTGCTTGGTTTTGCAACGTTGAAGGTAAGTTTAATTCTCGGTTTCATATGGTCTTCTCTCCTCCTTTTCTTGGTTTGTGTGCTTAACGGAGAACCTGCACGGGTGGATCTTCAGAGCTTGTCTCCCATTCGTCGCTGCCGTTGGTCTGCGTCTGGGGGGTTTCTTCCTTCTCAGGCTAGCTGTGGTGAACACCTCGTTCAAGCTTTTGCTTGGTTGACCCACAGGTCAGTAACCACGGTGATGTAGTAGGCCGAACCAAGGACTGGTCTGGTATTGGAGCTCTACCAGCTGGTCACCGCTCCATTCCTTGCTGCCGGAACTCGTCCGAAAGTGAAAACTTCTGGCGCTCGCAGTCACCGCCATTCTTGGCAAAGCGCCGGGTCGGATTGGTTGTATTTGGGTCTACAGGTTCCGGTTTTGCTCCCTGGTTGTGACCGATGCTGCTTAAGGGGCCCAGGGAACCATGGAGGGCCTGATGATGACGAGACCAAGACTTACTGGATTGGGACCACTTTTTGCTCTTAGCCGGAAGTTTTGCCTCTGCTTGGACCTGAGCTCCTCCTCGATAAACCGGACTGATTACCACTGCACTGCCTCCGGAGAGGGTAGGGAGTGACGATTGTTGGAAGGAATGGGGAAGGAGGGTCTCAGAACCTAAAGGGGCTGTATTTCTGGCGAGGGGTATGGTGTAGGTCCATGGGCTGAGAGGGTTGTGGTTTTGATTTTGTTTCTGTTCGTTTTACTCTTGGTTTTCCGGAGAAGGCGACCGGGGAAGACTGGCGCAAATACAGGGTTTTCTGGTCTATTACTCTTGGTCACTTGAATTGGTTTGATGTTGTTTCTTTTCTGAGAATGGCTTGGATTTGCCGGTTAAAGTCGTCGGTCATTACTCATTCTCGGTTACTGTTGGCACGCCATTTTTCTGCCGTCGCATCTACGCCGCCGGGGGTTGCCGGGACCTGACGGGGAGGGGGTGGATGATGGGGTTTACGTGATGGCTTTTACGCTCTTTCTGGCTGGGTACTGTTTCTCCTCCGCCGATGCCGCTGGGTTGGTTGCCGGAGCCCGGTGGGGGTGGGGGGGAGGGTTTCGACGTTTGGGAGGTTGGGTCAGGATCTTTGCCTGATTTTTGGGATTCCGTTTGGTCCACCGCCGTTGATGGGAGGTGATGGGCTGGTGCTTCGCCGGAGAAGACGATGGGAGTGATTCGACGTCATGGCTGACGCAGCCTGCCGTTCTGCCCACCTGTCCTTGACTGACCTGTTGACTGTCGAGTACTGTTGAACCACGTGGGAGGCTTTTTGAATTCCAATGCTCATTGCGGCGCAAAAGTTAACAAGATGGTGGGCTGGAGGACTTCTCCAAACTCTAGCCATATGCTGGGTCGGATTAGAATCCATTTGGGCTTCTTTTGCTGCTGCTTGGTGAGAATTGTGGACCGTGATTCTTTGGTTGTTTTTGGACCTCGATTTTGATCTCTGTTTTATTTGATGAACTTTTGTGATTGTTTTTGGGGTTTTTATTGCTGATAGCTTTTGTTACTAAGCCGGGGGGTCTGTCCCGTGCTAGTATCTTGAATTATTTTTGCTTATTACTCCTCCCCCACCCTTTCCACAAGGTAGAAGTGGGGCGGGGTGTGAATGGTTGTAGCTACCATAGGTTAGTTTCTCTAGCTTAGGTAGTTTATTTTTGACACTTGTACATTCTTCAAACCCTTTTTCCTTGGGTGTCTTTTTAATATACTTACATTTCACCCAAAAAAATTGAAACCAGCGCCCAAAGACATGTTTTAGAACTCGGTAAGATCTTTCCAATGAGATATTAAATGCTTTCAATGGCACAAAATAGAGCAAGATATGATCGCATCAAATTCTACACGAGTTCGGAGTGAAATCAGAAACATTTGTGAATATCTGGTCAATCTGTAACTTTTAATTAATTCATTGTAAATGAAGTTAGAACAATAGCTTTAGAACTCCGATCTATCTTTCCAACGAGATATAATAAGCTCCAAACGGATAAACACACAGCAAGATATGAGTGTCACAAATACTTAGCCTTATCTCTATGATTTAGCGTTTTCAGGGAAAATAGAGCACTTTTAGCGTAAATACAGTGTATTTTAGTAATTAGGCAATAATCACTTGATTTTTTGAAACCAGCGCCTGAAGACAAGTTTTAGAACTAGGTAAGATCTTTCAAACGAGATATTAAACGCTTTCAACGGCACAACAAAGAGAAAGATATGATCGCATCAAATTCTACACTAGTTTGGAGTGAAATCAGAAACATTTGTGAATATATGGTTAATCTGTAACTTTTTATTAATGCATTGTAAATGAAGTTGGAACAATAGCTTTAGAGCTCCGATCTATCTTTCCAACGAGATATAATACGCTCCAAACTGATAAACACTCAACAAGATATGAGTGTTACAAATACTTAGCCTTATCTCTATGATTCAGCGTTTTCTGCGAAAATAGAGCACTTTTAGCGTAAGTACAGTGTATTTTAGTAATTAGGCAATGCTCCCTTGATATTTTGAAACCAGATCCTGAAGAAAAGTTTTAGAACTCGGTAAGAGCTTTCCAACGATATATTAAACGCTTTCAACGGCACAAAATAGAGAAAGATATGATCGCATCAAAATCTACACGAGTTCGGAGTGAAATCAGAAACATTTGTGAATATATGGTTAATCTGTAACTTTTAATTAATGCATTGTAAATGAAGTTGGAACAATAGCTTTAGATCTCCGATCTATCTTTCCTACGAGATATAATACGCTCCAAACGGATAAACACACAGCAAGATATGAGTGTCACAAATACTTAGCCTTATCTCTATGATTTAGCGTTTTCAGAGAAAATAGAACACTTTTAGCGTAAATACAGTGTATTTTAGTAATTGGGCAATCATCCCTTGATATTTTGAAACCAGCGCCTGAAGACAAGTTTTAGAAAATGGTAAGATCTTTCCAACGAGATATTAAACGCTTTCAATGGCACAAAATAGAGCAAGATATGATCGCATCAAATCTACACGAGTTCGGAGTGAAATCAGAAACAATAGCTTTAGAGCTCCGATCTATCTTTTCAATGAGATATAATACGCTCCAAACGGATAAACACACAGAAAGATATGAGTGTCACAAATACTTAGCCTTATCTCTATGATTTAGCGTTTTCAGAGAAAATAGAGCACTTTTAGCGTAAAAACAGTGTATTTTAGTAATTAGGCAATCATCCCTTGATATTCTGAAACCAGCGCCTGAAAACAAGTTTTAGATTTCGGTAAGATCTTTCCAACGAGATATTAAACAATATCCACGACACAAAATAGAGCAAGATATGATCGCATCAAATTCTACACGAGTTCGGAGTGAAATCAGAAACATTTGTTTATTAATGGTTAATTTGTAACTTTTAGTTAATGCATTGTAAATGAAATTGGAACAATAGCTTTAGAGCTCCGATCTATATTTCCAACGAGATATAATACGCCCGAAACGGATAAACACACAGCAGGATATGAGTGTCACAAATACTTAGCCTTATCTCTATGATTTAGCGTTTTCAGCTAAAATAGAGCACTTTTAGCGTAAATACAGTGTATTTTAGTAATTAGGAAAGAATCCCTTGATTTCTTGAAACCAGCGCCTGAAGACAAGTTTTAGAACTCGGTATGATCTTTCAAACGAGATATTAAACGCTTTCAATGGCACAACAAAGAGCAAGATGTGATCGCATCAAATTCTACACGAATTCAGAGTGAAATCAGAAACATTTGTGAATATATGGTTAATATGTAACTTTTAATTAATGCATTGTAAATGAAGTTGGAACAATTGCTTTAGAGCTCCGATCTATCTTTCCAACAAGATATAATACGCTCCGAACGGATAAACACACAACAATCTCTAAGATTTAGCGTTTTCAGCGAAAATAGAGCACTTTTAGCATAAATACAGTGTATTACTATTTTTGATACTATTATTATTACTATTATTATTATTATTATTATTATTATTAGTATTATTATTATTATTATTATTATTATGATTATGATTATTATTATTATTATTATTATTATTATTATTATTATTATTATTATTATTATTATTATTATTATTATTATTATTATTATTATTATTATTATTATTATTATTATTATTATTATTATTAGCTCCGATCTATCTTTCCAACGAGATATAATACGCTCCAAACGGTTAAACACACAGCAAGATATGAGTGTCACAAATACTTAGCTTTATCTCTATGATTTAGCATTTTCAGAGAAAATAGAGCACTTTTAGCGTAAATACAGTGTATTTTAGTAATTGGGCAATCATCCCTTGATATTTTGAAACCAGCGCCTGAAGACAAGTTTTAGAAAATGGTAAGATCTTTCCAACGAGATATTAAACGCTTTCAATGGCACAAAATAGAGCAAGATATGATCGCATCAAATCTACACGAGTTCGGAGTGAAATCAGAAACATTTGTGAATATATGGTTAATCTGTAACTTTTAATTAATGCATTGTAAATGAAGTTGGAACAATAGCTTTAGATCTCCGATCTATCTTTTCAACGAGATATAATACGCTCCAAACGGATAAACACACAGCAAGATATGAGTGTCACAAATACTTAGCCTTATCTCTATGATTTAGCGTTTTCAGAGAAAATAGAGCACTTTTAGCGTAAATACAGTGTATTTTAGTAATTAGGCAATCATCCCTTGATATTCTGAAACCAGCGCCTGAAAACAAGTTTTAGATCTCGGTAAGATCTTTCCAACGAGATATTAAACAATTTCAACGACACAAAATAGAGCAAGATATGATCGCATCAAATTCTACACGAGTTCGGAGTGAAATCAGAAACATTTGTTTATATATGGTTAATTTGTAACTTTTAATTAATGCATTGTAAATGAAGTTGGAACAATAGCTTTAGAGCTCCGATCTATCTTTCCAACGAGATATAATACGCCCCAAACGGATAAACACACAGCAGGATATGAGTGTCACAAATACTTAGCCTTATCTCTATGATTTAGCGTTTTCAGCTAAAATAGAGCACTTTTAGCGTAAATACAGTGTATTTTAGTAATTAGGAAATAATCCCTTGATTTTTTGAAACCAGCGCCTGAAGACAAGTTTTAGAACTCGGTATGATCTTTCAAACGAGATATTAAACGCTTTCAATGGTACAACAAAGAGCAAGATGTGATCGCATCAAATTCTACACGAGTTCAGAGTGAAATCAGAAACATTTGTGAATATATGGTTAATCTGTAACTTTTAATTAATGCATTGTAAATGAAGTTGGAACAATACCTTTAGACCTCCGATCTATCTTTCCAACGAGATATAATACGCTCCAAACGGATAAACACACAACAATCTCTATGATTTAGCGTTTTCAGCGAAAATAGAGCACTTTTAGCGTAAATACAGTGTATTAGTATTTTTGATACTATTATTATTACTATTATTATTATTATTCTTCTTCTTATTATTATTATTATTATTATTATTATGATTATTATTATTATTATTATTATTATTATTATAATTATTATGATTATGATTATTATTATTATTATTATTATTAATATTATTATTATTATTATTATTATTATTATTATTATTATCTCCGATCTATCTTTCCAACGAGATATAATACGCTCCAAACGGTTAAACACACAGCAAGATATGAGTGTCACA